AAAAAGTTATAAGCTAGCTCTGTCTTAGAGTTTATTTATGATCTCATGAGGGATCAGAGGAATTAGAATTAGTCTGGAAACAGGCTCAGCAAACTTTCTCTAAAGGGTGCAATAATAAATATTTTAGGTTTTAAGGAAAATATAGTGTATTGCAGCTACTCAACGGCCTTTATAGAACAAAATAACCAATGATGGGAGGAGAACAGCTAATGATTTTGTTCAATAAAAACTGTTCACAAAGACAGGTGTTGGGCTGGATTTCATCCAGGGCCATAGATTACAAGAAACAATGGTTAAGAAAATCATGTCTTTCACTTTTTGTGTTCCTTCAAACAACATTCTATGTTAAATTCCCACATTACTAAAACAAGAGCAAGTTGAAACTCTGAAAGTGACTATAATTCTGTATTTTGACAGCCAGTTGGTATGTATGTTTCCCGTGGACTATCATCCATTCAATTTAAACTGGCAAGAAAATTACTAAATATGTACTATGCTTCAAGTACACATAAATAATTCTGATCCTGTGATAAAGTTTACTGAGTCAGAGTGTCTTGGACTAAACTCTACTTAGACGTTGTCATGGGAATAGTCTAAACACTTTTGGAAAACATCTATTCTCTTTTAGGCTAGTGTATTATTCCACGTACCAAAGCAGTGATTTGCTAAAAGGTACCTAGGTATGAGCAAAAGGATGATTGGTTCGTGCATCAACGACTTCCTGTAGAGAATTATATGTTCTTACAAATTCTGGGACATAAGATAGGTTTTTCCATAGGGACTGAGCAGCCATAAAAAGTACATGTTTTACATTCTGCTAGGATCTGAAGGCCTAAATCTGTAAAGACTTTTCTTGCTAATTTTACAATCAGCTTAGAGACTAAATTCTTACTCAAACCTATATAGTCAAATCATAGGTAGTGCCATGGCATTTTGGTAAGCAGACTTTCATATTATTTTATTGCCAAAATTATCACCCAAGGGGCCTCCCTGTGTGATTCACAGGGTTAAATCTCAGTGCAATAAAGCTTCTGCAGCACAAGTTCCTTCCCTGCCCAGGGAGCTGACCCACAACCTCTCCTGTCCCGCCTGCTGCTCCCCTCAGCAGTGTCTTTTAGTAGATGTGCCTATTCTGCTCCCCACTCCGTCTCTGGTAATCCTCTCAACACCCCCCCCCACACACACACACCTGTGGTCTGTACCCTGGTTTTTGTATGCATAAATAAATGATTAAAAAAATTACCACCATAGATTGCTATTCCTTGAACCAATGGTACACCCCAAACCAGACTATAGAGCAGAATTACCTGTGTCTGTTTTTAACATATAAATTTCTGGGCACTACTCCCAGGCTATTGAATGAGAAAAATATTGGCTGGGTTTTATTTGTCTCCTCCCTGATTTTTGATAGGAGTGGACACAGTAATGAAATTTTCACCACATATTGTTGTGAAATAAACATCATCACTGCCTTTAACAGCTAAGAGAACAAAGGCTTGAGGAACTTAAAACTTGCTTGAGGTCATATATCCAGAGCCCTAAAGTCTTTCCCACTAAAGCCACCACCTTCCATTATGTCACTAGAATGGAATCACGCAGGGGAAAAGCATAATGCCCACATATTAATTTAGAACCTGAGACCACTTACTTTCCTTTCCATAAGTTCTCAGTAATAAGTAGTGGGAAAATTAAAATACGAAGCCTAAATGTTTTTGCATTTTGCCTGACACTTTATGCATATTTATTCTGTGAGCATATTATTTGTTCCTAATTGTTTTAAAGATTTATTTATTTATGCCTACAGAACTGGGGTACAGGCCAGAGGTAAGGTGCAAAGGTGGTGAGAGTATTCACCAGAAACTGAGTGAGGAGCAGAACAGACCAACTGGTGAAGTACACTGCTGAGGGGAAAAGCAGGCAGGTCAGGAGAGGTCTGCCTCGCCATGTGGATCACCTCCTGACCGGGGATTGAACCCAGGCTGAAGCGGCTTTAGCTTCTTAGTGCTGTGCTTAAACTTGTTGTGCCACCAGGGAGGGCCCTGTTCCTAACTTTTAAAAGGTTAAAGAAAAAGTGCAACCCTCCTGCATAGTTTTCACCTGCACGTCAAAGAATGGCATAAAAAAGAGATAATGAGAAGTAAGTGGAGTTAAGTCAGGGGGGAGAGAGACAATGGAGTGGGCAGGGAAAATGCATTTTATATTTCATTTGCTGTCACCAAGGATTTTTTTTTTTCAGGGAAGTGTTTTATAAATGTGTCAAATATGTATCTGGGTTTTTAGTAGCATTTGTGGAGGTACCTATTTTTTTTTAATATATTTTCTAATCTCAGGTTAGTAAACAGCAGCTATTGCATCAGTAAAATGAAAGGGTATGTAGTTCTCCAGACCATTCTGAATGGCTTCCACCCAGCTGATGCTGCTCTATCTGAGGACAGGCAGTTTATTGTGTCACGGTACCTTTTTACTCTCTGCTGATGCACAAATAGTAAAATAAGCATGAAGTAAATATGTGAAACTAATGCAAAACATTCTATAGGAATCAAATCTCTGGAAAATATTTTTTTGTAACTAATGCCTCCATTAAAACATAATTTGTAGATTAAATTTTATGGCCATGGAAAATAAGCTGCAATAAAATGCACAGGTGTTTTTCTGTATGTTAGCTAGTCAAGGAAATGCTCGATTACAGTCACAGAACTTGACGTCAGGTATTTGATGCACATGGTTCTGACAAGGAAAAATACAAAATCAAATGAAAAACTGAAATCAATTTTCCATACTCGTGAAATTGCTATACTTTTTTGAGGACTCTCCAGGAATCACCTTCTTATACAGAATAGAGAAATAGCAAAAAGGATTTAGGAAATGGATATATTAAAAGCTGTGGCGAAGTGGAGAAAGGGAATGAAATCAGCATTTACAAAGACCAATTCTGGTGCCACCATCTAGTTACCTGGTGCCAGTAGGCCCAGCAGCTCCTTTCGCTGCCAGATTCTGTTGTTTTCAGGATGTTTGGGCACTCTCTTGATATCAGAGAGCTGCAAAGCAATCCTCTTTATTGCTTATAAAACGGACTGAAGGACATCAAGAGGGAGAGGAAACATATTCCTTCTTTTTGCACTGGAGAAAATTGACAATTGACTTGAAGTTGAAATGCCAAACAATCCCTGTGCCTGTGACGGTCAGTGGCAGCACACAGGGGCAGAGGAGTTTCACACAATAGTGGGTGTTTCCAGATTCTGTGCTCTGCACTAGTCCCACCCCACACTCACACCCGAGCACATGTCAGTCACCCAGTGATGAGTTACATTATTTTGTGGGATGAACAGGAAACTAAACATTTTAAATCTTTCCTTCACTCTGACTGCTCTTCTGATAAACCTTATGTGACAATATTATTTATGGATGTTCCAGAAATTTAGATTGGTCTTTCTTAATAGAACCAGTTCCAGAGAGTCTTATAAAGTCTGTTTTCAGCCCTCTTTGATTTTCCAGAACTTTTACCTTCCCTTTTGTCTTTCTCATTTGCTTCCAGAATCTTATAGTACTCTAGATTTCCATCATTTGCTTCCAGAATCTTCCCATATTAGTCCTGGGAGATATGGTGCAGCAAATGGTGTTCCAGAAGACCTCCCCAAATAACACATACTTTGCGCATTTCTGAGACCTATCTTTTCATCAAAGTGTATATTTTGGGACGCTATTGCCTGGAGGTTTTGCTAAGTTGCTTACCACTTTATTGCCAACATCGTAAAAAATGAATGTCATATAGGGTGATCATGGCCAACCTCCTTCACTCACCAGCAAATCTAACACTTTTAAAGAGCAAGCAGACCCCAAACTGAATTTTTCAGTGCTATACTGATGACAAGATTGACATTTAAATGAAAATTATTGTGGTTTTGGGAATCTACTCTCTCCCAAAAGTAACCGTCGCTGAGATGAGCAGTTGTTCATCAAATTGCTTTTCTCCCCTCCTTTTTTGATATACAGGAAAATAGATATACTGTGTCATCAAAAAGAGAAAAATTGTATTTGCTCAAGCTGTATGAATGTCCTTCATCCTTGAGGCACTAATAAGCAAGGTTATGGATTAAAGGGAGACTGAGCCACGAGAAGGTGAATAGGAAGAAGTGAGAGCTAGAAAACAGGGTACAAATCCCGCCCTTCCTCACCCCAGATTTAAGGTACAGGACAAGTCATTTCCCCATCTGAAGCCTCAGTTTCCTCTGTTGAAATATGGGAAGCAGGAATTGGTATTTCTTAATCTAAGGTTACTCTGGGTACTTCTAGGAGGATTAAGTAAGGCCATGAATCTAGATTATACCACAGTAGCTGTGACATGGTTAGTTGGTCACAAAGGTTTGCTGTTTTTGTTAGTGCCCTTTTTGACCCTCATCATCTACTCAACTTTCTTTTCAAATAAGTTGCTTAAAATCCTGTCCCTTATTTTTCACTTAAATGATATAAATAAAAGACTTGACTAGTAATAGTGTGTGTGATAAATATCCATTCTTCTTGTGCATTTCAGTCCAGCCTGTGAATCACATTTAAACTGGCTTCTTGAAACAATTTCTAGCACATTCTACTTGCAGTCAGATGAAGTGGCAATTTTCTGAAAATATGGAGCAGTTTGGTGCAGGGAAGAACATGTATTCAGGCTCATAAACATAAACATTTTTTATGTAGCATTTAAACATGAACTATGCAACTCCAAAATGCTACAAAAATATAAACAAAATAATCTCGGAATAAAGAAATATAGCTAAAGAGAACTGAGAGGGAGGAAAAAGAAGCAAAGTTTTCTATGACCCAAGAAGTTGATCATGGGCAAACATTTGCTCTTAGAGGAAGATGGTAGCATGTCCTAGACATGATTTAACATTACTGGCCGAGCGACTCTGGTAGCTCATATTCTGACCTTTTCCTAGTGGTCCTGGCTCACCGAACCTTTCTTCAGCGATGACCACCTGATAGCGATGCTGACTGAGAACATGCTGGTAGAGCTGAAGTTCCCTTTTGCTGTAGGAAAGGGGCCGGTAGAGTGTGGCCCTTCTGGCATGGCTGCTGAAGTGTGTCTCAACCAAATCCTCCATCTGAAAACAAAAAAGAAGGTATAAAATCTCAAGAGGAAAAGCAGCATCTTTCTGCAGAAGGACACCATGAAAGCAAATCAGGAGCCATTCAGAACGTTACCCTTTTAAGTATTTTTTACAAATGTAAGATTCTCTGAAAGACCAACAAGGACAAAGATAACCATATGCAAGAACTGAAGGTGAACTGAAATCTTCTTACCATCATATAAAGGTGAAAAATTTAGGCCATTAATATCCTAGAGAAATGCTGCTACATAGAAATCTAGAGCTCAACTCTTGCCTAAAATACAAAATTAATAGCAATGCTTTTCATCTGTGTTGTGCTGTCATAAAGCAGCATTCTTTTAATAGTTCTTATAAGTAAATACAGTCAAGAAGACACACTCAGAGAGGATGATTTTTTGTGCTGGAAAGACATGTTCAGGCAGGGGAAGAGTTCAGAAGCAATGACAGAATTCTTTGGAGTCATAGCACACTGCTGCTTATCAATTAAGAGGTAGCCAAGTCTGAATTTATCATACTGAAGGGCAGGAGGGCACACCACTGGCTTTGAACGCCGTAACTCCACCGTCACAATTTGTGTCACCTTAGGTCTTACCTTTCTTAAAAGGCTGCTGTAAAGATTAAAGAGCTAATAGTTCTAGAGCACCTAGTACCATGCCTGACATAAAGGAATATAGATAGGTTTTGTAAATGATAATCATAGAGAACAGAGAGTCAGGAAAAATTGTTTCTGAATCTGATCTCTGTCTGGCACATGCTTACATAGGTTCGTTATACCTGTGTGAAGGATATAAAAAAAAATGAATAGAACATCAGCCAACCATACCTTCTGTGGAAGGTACTTTGGGAAAACATAAGTAGCAATTTTCCCTCGTTAAAGGATACAGCATCTTATTGATAGTGAAACTACTTAAACTCAAGAATCGAACTGCAAATTGGGGTGTGATTTCCTAGCAAATGTAATTGTTTGTAATGAAAAATTTGTGAGATAGGGGATTTGAAATCAAATGTAGATGGAACCTTTAAATACAGGAATTAGAAGGGATCCAGAGTCCATAGGAAGCAAAAGCAAACATTGAGTCTTGGTGAGGAAAGTAAGAAGAGAGGAAAACAGATGCTTCCATAGATCAGTGTCATTCAAGAGAAATACAATTTCCAGAATGGCCTTCTCACAGTAGTTTGTTTTTTTGTTTTTTTGTTTGTTTGTTTGTTTTTGTAATCACAGGACGCTTCTCTGTTGCAGCTGGCTCAAGCATAAGAATGATTCCACATGGGGTAATGTTAAACTTAAAATTTGAAGTGATTATTATTTAGAAAGGTACCACTCCCCTTGCCTACAAGCAGAATCAGTCTAAAGAAAAACGTCACTTTTACCAATAGACCTACACAGAGCATATCCTAAAAAGCATAATTACTGGCTATATTTTGTAATAATCTTTACAACATAGACTGAAATTTTGATTCATGTCTCAGACTGCTGAGAATAAATAGGAAATGAGCTTGTCAGCCAAATTATGTTGTATTATCCTGTCACACACACCGCTCCTGCCCTGTAATATTTATAACACACTGGATCAGCAAAGTGGCCCAATACCAAAGGGTGAGGACCATTTCAGCCAGTCCGGACGACAGGTGCGTGTGTGAAATAAAACGTACGTGGACAATTATGTCAACCACAACAGCTAGCGTGGGATTATTCAACACCAGTGGCAGCACTTTGGAAGTGAGAGCCCCTGATGACTCCCACAGTTCTGAAGATCTATTTGTAGTGGAAGAACACATTAAACCTGGCTGCTGTGACAACTGAAGTTGAGACTTGCAAGCTTGCTGATGAGAATTTAGGAAAGAATGGGGGTTGTGAGGTTGTTAACACACTGAAACCCGGAGTCACTTCCCTTTCTTCCTCTCTCTTCTCTTCAGAGATCTGCAAAATATTCCTTCAGAAATCCTTCTGCTAGATCACATGAAAGTTGTTTTATAAGTGAACACTTACTATTTTTACCTGAAGGACTAGAATCTGAAACCTTTATACTGCCTTCGATAAAGGATAGGGTGTTGTAATAAACCAGTTGGGGTGTTAGGTTGCAGTGATGTGGCATAAGAAAACAGGAGGCTTCAGAAGCAAAATCTAGACTTGAGTTCTGGCTTTGCTATTTGCTTTGCCCACTTGGGTGAGTTATTTAACCTCTCCATATCAGACTTTTCTCATATTTAGAATTGAAGTAGCAACTTCTTATGTTGGAATGAAATAGATTTTCTATGAAAGAATCCAGTATTAACAAATGATATTAAGTACACATGAATAAAATTGATCATAATTGATATAATTCTGCTTTTATCAGTTCTGCAAACTTTTCAACTAAATTTGGTCTGTAAAGCTTCTTTACAGTAATTTACATAGTTCCATATATCCAGAGAAGTTGTTTTCTCTGTAGCAATCATTTTTAATGCAAAAATATAATTTATCTATTATGTTCATTATCTGTTTTCCCACACTGTGATCAAAGTAAATGAACATTTGCTGTTATTTTAGTTTTCCTAATCTACGAATACTATGTAGTACTCATGATTAAATAAATACCCTTCAAATGAGTGAATGCAAACCGCTTTTCTTCAATAAATTCTTTGTTATAAATACCATCAAAGAAGATTAGGAACACAAAGTTGTGAAAATTTGTGTTAAGGACTTGATCTCATTGCAATTGTAAACAGCAGTAGGAATAACAAAAATCAAATTAAATCTTTAAGGGAAATAATGAATTTACAGTAAAAACTGAGCAAGGAGATAAATTATAAATTTATACTATTAAAAAGTCTTACCAGGATTGACCACAAAACCGAGAACTTTAAAATATAGTGAGGATGAAAAATAGAACTTGTTTTTTCCTATGTGACAGAAAATAGTCTTGTATTTATGACATCTTTGATGCTCAAATACAAATCATATAGTAGGCTTTGGATGCACATCATATATAACTAAAAGTTAAATTGCCTTGCTGCTCTAGATTTTTGGTATTTTGGAAATATTTCAGATTATCACAGTGAATTATGTTTTAATTTTTCCACTATAAGAATAGATTTCCCCCCACTGGTGAAATATATACTTATTTTACAGAATTCATGAACTAAGATGGATTGTTCCTAGAACGTATATCATATATATTTTCAAGTTACAAATCATCCAGAGCCCTCCCTGGTGGTGCAACAGGTTGAAGTGCAGCTCTAGGAAGATCACCACAGCCTCTTCAGCTCCAGCACGACTTTGTCCCCCAGCCAGGGAGATGACCAACATGGCGCGGCAGACCTCTCCTGACCCACCCGCTGCTCCCCACAGCAGTGTACTTCGTCAGTCGGCCTGTTCTGCTCCCTTCTCTGTCTCTGGTGAATCCTCGAACCACCCCTGCACCTCTGGCCTGTACCCCAGTTCTGTATGAATAAATAATTTTTTAAAATCATTCAAATTAAGGACAGTTTGAGGGCCACAGCTTGCCTGGCTCTGTAAGCCAAGTTTCCGGATTGTCCCCTAAGTCAGTGATGCGGTCATGATTCTGCCTTCGCTTCATGACTAACTCAGAGGTATCTCACATCCATCATGGAACTACCACATATCTCTCATACTCCATGACACTGAACCCCTCTGGTTTCTTTTTCTTGGGGTAAGTGAACTGATAGCCTTAATTGAAGGCCAATTTTGCATATTGGTGGCTTCAGATAACTGCTGAGCAAATGAAAGAGAAATAAAAGCAATGAAATATCAGTATCAAAAATATATTCCCACTATAACATCGATGAAAGAAAACCTAGTAAACGCCCCACATCATCACCTAATTGGCTGCATGTATAGTGAATATTGTACATGAAAGAAAATAGAGAAGATAAATCTTAAAAAAGAAAAATGATGGCGAGAGAAATTAAGATAGGGAGTCTTTGAAGGTCTGCATCATAAGGACTTTCTATTACAAGTAGCAAGCATGGTCTTTTAGGCAATATGAAATAACTAGAATGACAATAGAAGCAGAGGCAGGGCGACAATCCTTATTACCTTAATAAGTATGTAGCAGTAAACCACAACTTGGTAAGTAGTAAGAAATTAAAACTAGGTCACTTGACGCTGATCTTGTTACCTACCAGCTCCATCTCGAAGACCTTCATGTCCTTGAGGCAACCGAGCCTCCCTGGCCCCCTGTGAACCTCCATGCTTTTTCTGGGCTCTCTCTGGCTTTCTCTCATCATCTTGCCTCTCCTGAAATCACAGGCCCTCTCCTAGCAATCAGGCTCTATGTGGCACCATCCTTATAGCCTTGGGTCCAGGCCCAGGTGTGCCCACCTTCCCACGCCCACCCCATACTCCAGGTGTCCACCATCAGGCACACGTGACTGCACGCAGGCACCCAAGCACCTTCTGCATCAGCACAATGAAGGCCACAGGTGACAGTCACAGAGGCCAGTAGCTTAACAGGCCTGATTCATTCACTTACCTACAGATGGTTATCCTGAGTGAGTTCCAGGTGACCAGACTTTTCCCACCTAAACCCCAGGGTTTCCTAAGAGTGATACACCACTGTTACCGTGATGCAGAAATGTTACTGTGTGTTATTTAGAGATGGAAGTATTCAGAGACCTGAGGGACCAGACATGGGGTGGGGGGCGAAGGGGTAGGGGGTAGAGTGTGTGAGCTGAGACCTGTCCTAAGGAGGCCCAGGTTAACATGGGCAGGGAGGGCACTGTGCTAGCAGGAGTGGTCAGTTCCACACTGGGGAGGCTGGTTTGCTATAGAAAGAGGAAGAGGAAGTAGCAGCAAGAGACTCAAAGCACAGAGAGTGTAACTGAGAGAGTAAGGCAGAGAGAATGAACATATTCCAGAAGTGAGGGGAAAGTTCAGAGAAAGGTTTTGCTGTGGAGACATTAAATAAACATAGAGACTGTGAGTCTGACATCAGAACCAGACAGGCACAAAAGTGGAAAACAAGACCACAGCAAGACAGACCTGCTGTCCT